TGGAACAGAAAGAAAATTTGGCCCCATAAGTAGCAAATGGGCTTAGCAAAAGATTTTCTACAAAACAGCACTGTAGTCACATTTCAAGCAATTTTACAAACACTAGTGAAGATTTTCAAAGTAGTTTGAGGGATTATATTTACATTTTACAATAAATAAATACCCATGATCAATCCCAGAAGGTGGCTTTGATAATTTTAAATTCTACCCCTAATTTCATTTTGACTTGTATTTCACGGGTAATTGTATAAGAGAACACATGAGAATTGTTTAGTTCACAAAACCATTTCAGTAAGGTCATTTCCTTTGACTCAGCTTTTTCCTGCTTTGAATATTAGATGTTTTTGGCTAGGTTGGTTAGACATTGATTTACTTATATTGGAAAATGGATTCAGATGTTGTGTTTCCACAAAGGGATATTGCTCCTGAAAATATTTTTACTTTGCTGCTCTGTTTATAAAATGTAGCAAGGACCGCCATATCTTGCCTCTTATCAATTCACCATTGTTGTATTGAAGAGTATCAGATAGATATGTATCATAGAAGAAATCAGCTGTACCATTTATATAGGGTAAAGTCATGCAAACCATGCTCAAAACTAAGCTCCTTAGTTTTGGTAGCATGAAAAAAACTGCATTAGTAAACTGTATGAAATGGTGCAGAATGACTACCACTAATATCACATGCATCTTACGCAGCCATTGGTGTTTTGAACTAGTAAGCTTTGGGTGTAGAGTAAGTGAGATATACAAAGTATGCTTACATTACATGGAGAAGTCAACCAGTGACTGCCCCCACACGCACTTTTAAACTGGCTTATTTGAAGGGGTCCATATTGAATCTGAAATCCCATCTCCTGTAGAAGACAAAGGCATGGAGCCACTTGGTGTAAAAGGGTCGGTGTCTGTGTCCGTTTCCCCCTCTGCTAGGTAGCGTTTCTCTCTCATCCATGCCGATCCCCCACTGGGGCCAAATGGGAAGTCATCTCTCTCTTGGGAGATACTGAAGCCACTTGGGGAGCGCTCAAGTTCCTCATGGTTGACGGAGAGAAGGGATAATGGAGTATCACTGTCTCTTGTCAAGCTCCTCCTCTGCCTTGGAGACACCTTATCTGAGTAAGGGCTTTGTAGGTCTCCTTGAGAGTGGTAGCTAACCTGGGAGTCCATTAATGTAAATATAGGCAAAACTGTTGGCCTTTCTGCATATGAAGTTGAGGAAGGTGTGGCTTGCAGTTTGCCAGAGTTTTGCCCAGCGATTGATAAAGGTTGTGAATGAGTCATGTGACCACGTGCTGAGAAACCATAAGGACTGACTTTGTTGACTGGAACCTGCTGGAAGTTGTAAGGAGTTTCATGAGCACACTGCTCAGTGTATTTATATATTATTGTTTTTAATTCAGAATATTTGTTGTCTTCTCTTTTCTCCTTTGCAGGAGAAGCAGTTTCTTTTAATGGACTTATCTCAGCGACTTGTATTTGCAGCTGTTCCATATGATGCATATGCATATCAACAAGAAAATCCAGTTTCTTCCCCATGTCATTAACCTGAAAAATACCAATGTTATAATATTGTCTCCAGTCAATGAAAGAGTCAATGCTTCTATAGGTGCACTGCCCCCAGCAATGGTGTGCTGCCATCTTTATTGGTCATGAAGGTAATTATGGGAAGTTCTATGGGAAGTTCAGGACTTTCCCTTGGAAGTGGGACTGCAGTGGATGCCAGATTATCCTCTGACTGCCTCAGATTAAGATGACCAGTCCCTATGAACTCTGCCAAAAAAATTCTTACTGTTGCTAGATATTTGGCAGTCCAGCATCCAATAGCAGCCTACAACCAAGGTCTTGATACTCTACGGTAAGTAGCTATTACCAAAATACAACAGGTGGAATTACCTTTGCACACAGACCTATTCTCTAACTGTTAATAGTCCCACAACATCAGGGTTAAATACCAGGACTCATTTCCTTTCTCTTTTGATGGTACCTTGTGCCTGAACATTTACATTCCATGAAACAAATTGATGTGAATCAATTCCACTTGCCTCCATCTTAGTCATGTATTTAAAAATGAGTGTCTTAACTTGCTAAACAATAGGTTAGGATGCACAAAGAGAGACCAAAAATACCTGTGGAGGCAACCCTTTGGAGTGCCAGACCCTGCAAAAGAATCATAGAATCATAGAATGCTTTGGGTCGGAAGAGAACTTTGAAGGCCATCTAGTCCAACCCCTGCAATAAGCAGGGACATCTTCAACTAGATCAGGTTGCTCACAGCCCCGTCCAACCTGACCTGGAATGTTGCCAGGGATGGGGCATCTACCACCTCTCTGGGCAACATCTTCCACTGTTTCACCACCCTCATTGTGAAAAATTTCTTCCTTATAGCTAGCCTCAATCTGCCCTCTTTCAGTTTAAAGCCATGACCCCTTGTCCTATCACAGCAGGCCCTGCTAAAAAGTCTGTTCCCATCTTTCTTAGAAGCCCCTTTTAAGTACTGGAAGGCTGCAATAAGGTCTCCCCGGAGCCTTCTCTTCTCCAGGCTGAACAACCCCAACTCTCTCAGCCTGTCCTCACAGCAGAGCTGTTCCATCCCTCTGATCATTTCTGTGGCCTCCTCTGGACCCACTCCAAAAGGCCTGTGTCTTCCCCATGCTGAGGCTCCAGAGCTGGACGCAGCACTGCAGGGGGGGCCTCACCAGAGCAGAGCAGAGGGGCAGAATCACCTCCCTCAACCTGCTGGCCACGCTGCTTTGGATGCAGCCCAGGGTATGGTTGGCCTGGGCTGTGAGCACCCATTGCCAGCTCATGTCCAGCTTTTCATCCACCAGGACCCCAAATCCTTTTCGGCAGGGCTGCTTTCCATCCCTTCATCCCCCAGCCTGTATTGATACCAGGGGTTGCCCTGACCCAGGTGGAGGACCCTGCCCTTGGCCTTGTTGATCATCATGGGGTTTACCCGGGCACATTCTTCAAGCTTGTCCAGGTCCTACTGGATGGCATCCCGTTCCTCAGCCATGTCAACCGCACCACTCAGCTTGGTGTCATCTGCAAATTTGCTGAGGGTGCACTCGATCCCACTATGTCATTGATGAAGGTGTTAAAGAGTACTGGTCCCAGTACAGACTCCTGAGGGACACTGCTCATCATCAATCTCCATTTGGACATTGAGCCATTGACCACCACCCTCTGGATGCGATCATCCAACCAATTCCTCATCCACCCAACAGTGCACCCATCAAATCCATCTCTCTCCTATTTAGAGAGAAGGATGTTTTGGGGGACCATGTCAAAGGCCTTACAGAAGTCCAGATAGATGATGTTTGTAGCTATTCCCTTGTCCACTGATGTGGTCACTCCATCCTAGAAGGCCACTAGGTCACAAGAAGGTGGTGTTCACAGCAGAACACCAGACGTGATGAGTATGGAGTTCAAAGGAGTGAAAAAGTCCCATCTAAACATTATGGTTAGGGTCTTGCTGCCGAATATAACGATATTCATTCAACAGGTTTCAAAATGCACACTTCACAGGTAATTAAATTATTTAATTAAAAACTAAGAACATAGTTTTGTGATCATTAGTACAAGATCTGTCCGAGTCTTGATCACCAACAGTACAAATCTGCCTGTGTCAGACACTCATACAGAATTTATGTCAGCTTTATCATTTCTGTACAAGCACCTCAGCCTCCATCACTGTCATGACATCACATACCTGTCGTTCAACTTTAACAAATTTGCCCATCATACTTTGGTCTTCAGTATCTGCTGTAGATGCTTTGGCTACATATGGATCATTTCTATAAAGAATTAATAACTCTATTAGTGTTTCATTTTTCTTCGCATCACAGTGAGTAATTTGTATCAGAAAACAGAATTACCCCCTTGGTGTTACATTCATATAAGTCCTTGGAGGCCCGCTTCAGAAAAGATTGAATTTAATTATTTATCACACAAACAGGAGCAAAAGTCTATTCTATGTGATTCCAATGCATTTCTTAAAAATGTATTCCTGATTTTTAATTTAAAATTGTTCAAAATTCAGATAAAGATTAAGAAAAAACAAAAGCAAACAAAAAGTTCAAAATGAAAGTGAAATTAATCTCAGACTTGGTGGAATAATTTCAGGTTTGTGAAAAATGTTGAGATAGTCTAGATAGTGGGTCTACAGATGGACACATGTTTTTAAATCTAATTCATCTTAATTAGTGTCTTTGAAGACTGAATCTGAGTTTCAATGATGAATGTTGGTTTGCTTTTTTTTCCCTCAAATTCATTAAACCAAACAGTAAGTGGCAGAGACTGGAAATGCTGAAAAGAGACAGTCTGGCCTTGAGATTTAAAGTAGATACCAGAATAAATTTTCTTCTGTGTAATTTCCTACTGCCATCAGATGGACTAACTTCAGGAGGTAAGAAGATGATCTCTGGTTGACTAAAGAACTTAGTTTTATAAATCCATGGGATCCGGGATGGTCATTATCAAGTTAAATCTTTATCTAAAGGATTCCAAACCAACCTCAGAGGAATCCATAATCTATGTCAAAGTCTAGGAAAAAAATTTGTAAGCATTTGTTCTTTAACATGACTTAGAACAAATATATCCTAAAACTTTTGTTTTAACAGGTCCAATTCTTTATGACAAAATTCAAAGAATAGCTGTGAATATATCTTACTAAAGCAGAAATTATAACTAAAACATGTCAGATTTTTCACATTGGGTTACTGATGATATCAGCTTGTTCAAATTTTGCAATCATCTGCTTTATTTCCCAAACGGTCACTGCCTCTACCATATATATAGGTCTCTCTCTTCACATTTACATGTTTTTAGATTTTTCACTGGGTGGGATAAACCAGATAGAGCCAAGTTAATTTATTTTCTGTAAGATTACTTTTGTTCTGAGCAACCGCAACAGCTTTGGGGACAGATTGTTGATGGTCTTGTGTGGTTCTTCATGGGTATTTATTGACAGATTGATAGTTGTAAATAACAGAAGAAATGTCATTTATTACTGAATTCTTGCCACCAGGAATGCAGCAATACAATAACATGCTGTAACTTTCACACCCAGAAAGCTGGTACTGCAATTTATTTTCAGTAATTCAGTAATTCTCACCAGTCATTGGTGAGCAGTAATTCTCACCAATCATTTAAAAGCAGCATCATTAAAACTCTGGGCTTGCCATTTGGTAAGGGCTATAATGAAACCTTTCTTCACATCAGGAAGATAACTGGTTTACCTTCAAATTGTTGGTGATTTTTATTGAGTTTTTAACTGGGTTTACTAGTTGAACATTAGAAATTCAGCACATCAGCAATCAAATGTACTTAATTCATATAAAATAACATTTCCAAACTGTGAAGAAGCTGACCTAGTCAAATAAGAAGCCATTAAGCTTAGATTTCCATCATAGAGTGTTCTTAGGGAAGCTAATATCTTTCTGGCTCAACATTTACACATATATACCTTGAAGCAAGTCATCCTCTCAGTATTATTACTTCAACAGTGTACTGGCTGGATGAATGAAGGGCATGCTTATTGGTAGGAATGAACTTTTTATTTTTCTGGTCTTGTCTGTGCAAAGTACTATGCGTAAAAAAATCACCTGGGAGACTGTTGTGAAGGGTAAGAAAAAGCTCCTCCCTTTTGGAATTTCTTATGCTTGGGAGTAGATGGAGGTCCAGGTGTAAAAATCATATCTACTCTGAAAAAAAGAAAAGTGCAACTGCATAAGTCCATCTCTAATTTCTAATACATGATAGAAAATGCTATGCATCTCTGCAGCAAACAGTAGCAAAGATTCAAAAGGGAAGCACAATTCGGTTTGGTAACATATTGAAGGTCATGTTGTGTTTGTTCTGTTCTGGGTCCACAGTCAATACATTGAATTGCAATTACCTGGTAATTTCATGGTAATTAAGTTATTATCTAGCTCACCATTTCCAAACTTTGGCATTTGAAACACATGACTTCATTTCCTTCAAAGGAACTAAATAGTGTGATTGTCAAAATATCTCAATAACAGCTGCTCCTAAACATGTCAGGAGAGACCCATCAGGTTTTGTGCTGGGTAGTGAAAATCAGAATTTGTGAATGGTGGCAATTGTTGATACCCTTAATAAACCAATGACTTTCTAGCAGTTATTTTGCCTAATTATCAGTAATTTTTTTTTCTTTACTAATTGTTCTTTTGGTTTGAAATTTGTAACTATAAATGCAGTTTCACAAGAAATCCTACTTGAGTTTTTATTCGGAACAAACCCAAAAGTATTATTTGGGAGGCTCCAGCGTATTTAATTACACTGTTACTATAACAATATATTCTGTCATTTGGCATATCCAACTGCTCAGGTGCAAGCAAGCCTCTCTTCATTCAGCCCACATACCAAACCGACCAGGTGTCAGTCAGCACTAGTCCACAGAGCAGTTATCTATCTGTATTATCAGATGATCCATGCAGGTACATTGCATGGTTTCATGGTGCCCCATGGAATTTTGAAAATGGAACTTAAAAAAGCTCAAGGCAAACCACACAAAGCTAGATACTTGCTAGGCACCCAAGCATTGCTGGGCCATCAGTCAACGTCTCATCAAACTCCTATGGCATCTCACTATTCATAGACACAATGACCCACCTCCCTCATTTTGTCCAGTTACTATCAGTGGAGGTCTAGTCAACACAGTGAAGAAAATTTGGGGGAGAGTAAGGGAGATTCAACTGACCAAATGAAGGCACCTGGTTTAAGCAGGCATTAATTGTGCCATAAAAGCTATAATGTTGACTAGCTCTCTGTTAACTGTAAGAGGAATCTCACATGGCTTGCCAGGCTTACGTTTTTTCTTCCAAGACCTCCAAAAAGGTCTTCTCTGTATATGTGCAAAATGGTTGTTGAAATTTTGTGGTTCTTCCACTACTGGTGATTCTTTGTACTGGTACGTGGCATTGTTGAGCTGAACATTGCAGAGTTGAGGTTGTGCTGCGATTCTAGCCCAGACTCACCTGCCGTAACCACTGCGTGGGATGGACCTAATCATGTCAGGCACCTTTACTGCTGCTAGGACTCAAGTGAGTATCTGAGAGGGTCTCTGCTGTCCAAAATCACACCACACCTCAGTCTGAGGTAAAGGAAGGATCTCCAGTATAAGGCATGTAGACCTCACCATAGATAGGTGCAGATTTCTAACATCATGAGCCCTCCTTGACTTCCTGAGTTCAAAAAGATATTACTGCATTGAAACCGAAGACCATGTGATGCAGAGCTCATTTTATAGAGTAACAATGTTTTTTTGTTGTATATCATTAAAGACAGCCGCTTTTCTAGAGCAATATTAGTGACGTAGGAACGAGACGTTATATACTCCAAAATGATGTAGCCCAGTACATGGAAAAGCAGTTTGAAACAAGAAATTATGAAATTCAATAGAGGACCAGAGCAGCCTTACAAAGAAAAGGTAAGTCTAGATAAGGTCCAAATGTGCAGCAAGAGTTTCAATCGCTCAGGCCATTCTTAAGAGAAATCAGGGTTATATCTGCCTGGCGTTTTGCTGTTTAGAGTGACTGGAGGGGCTCAGGGAATGTGGACAGTGCTGTGCTGAGGCTGAACGGCTGAACTAATACAGCTTCACGCATATACACACACATGCACCCAAACCCAGACAAGCTTACTAGCCCAAGCTCTGACCTGTGCCCATGGTTCAGCATGCAAGCAGCACAAATTTTTGTAGACGCGCCTCAAAGGCACATCGGGCGATGAGTCACTTCTGTGAGGAAACAACTGTGGGAGCAGATTGCACCTGAACAGTCACAAAAGGCAGGAAATTCCTTTTTTTTTCCATATAGGTCAATTTATACCTGAGTGAAGTGGGTGTAAAACCTTCTATGCTGAGGTATTTTTGTACTTGTATGAGATGTTTCACCAGGCATGGGTCAGCAGAGAAAGCTCATGTAAAGAAACTATTGCATTTATTTAACATCAGTAAAAAGGGGAGAAGGGGAGAAACTTGACCGTAATCAAATAAGGCAACGGTCAAGAACATTCACATTTTTTACTCCGATTTCCTTGTTCTAAATATAAGCCAGTGGTCTCTTCTGCTGCAGTTACCCCTGCCAGCTGCTCGCTTGCCTTCATTCTTTGGGGAGAAGACTTTCCTATTGACCAGGTACGCTATGCAAAGACATAGCTTCTGGGTGACCTTGTATGCAAATAGGCCAACAATGCTTTTATTTTGCCAGCACAGCTATACATTTTTCCCATTTACCACAGGACTCTTACCTTGACTGAAGATACTTTATTCTGGAAAGCATATCAAGATGCCCTGCTGAGTATTGCTCTATCACATCCTTGACATCATAAGGCCTCAAAGTCTCCTTGAATTTTTTTTTATAGAGACGAAACTGTAGTATTCTGCATCATAAACAGAAAAATTACTAACTTATATAAGTTCCATAATGATAATTTGCAGTTTCATCGAATAATTGATAAATAGTCTAGATGTCTGAAGATTGAGCATGTTATTTCAAAACAAGGCAATAAAACATAAACAGAGAATCTGGTAAATATATAATGGTTAGCTTTTTATAATTAATAGGCTAAAACAAATTATACACACAAAATGTCTTTTTCAGCACTATCATCATAACCAGGCATAGCTACAAGATCATACGTGGAATTTGATTTTGAACAACACAAACCACAGGAGATTTTGAAGCTGTGAAGCTGAAGCTGCTTTTTTTATGCTTCAGCCTATTATAAAGCTAATTTATTGTATCGATAATGCTGAATCATTTTCAGCTTGGTTTTCATTTTGCACCTGGGAAAGTTTCAGATAGGAAATGTTAATTACATAGAAATGTGGAAGTTAAGAAGTTAGCAGCAGTTCAAGTTGTGGAGAAAAGAAAAAGTGTTAGAACTGCCTAAGGTGTCCTTGAAAAAAACAGCAGTATAACATTATTGTCATTGTTGTAACAATAATAATAATATAATTTCTGTTATTGAATGTCCTAGTAATTAATAACAGAATTCTTACAATAAGGCCCAGTGCTGGCCAAAGCACTTGAAAACTTTTTTTCATTCTTTTCTGTTTATACATTAGTTTACACTGTTATATCTTGGTAGATGAAACAAATACACAAGAAATATATGTTAGGAATGAAAAACATTTTGTTTCTTTAATCTGTTTTAGGCTTGGGATCCACGCGTTTGCTTACTTGATAGAGTTTCCATGTTCTTAATGGTCTGAATTGCGGAACCGCTGTCATCTGTTAAGATTCTGACCTGTTTTTTATCCAAGGTCAGTGGGTTTTTTTAACCTTTTTAAAAGTTGTATAAACTTTCCTTTAGCAAAGATAATTCTATTATGACTTTTTAAGGGTTTTCAAATCTTTAACTCTGTTGCTTATAAATCTTTCAAGATTTCAAAATTATATTTATGCCTATTATAACCGAACTACATATGATAACAGTAAAACTATAGTTAAAAAAACACCCATAAATTAAAAATAGGAATCACACTGTTAGCAACTGCAATTTAAAGTCTCCTTGATCATGACCCTGAACACTTATTAAGGGTTTTGCCTGAAAGAATGACTTCCCATTAGCATTCAGAGTCTGGGTAAACTATAGAAGAAAAAAAAAAAAAAAGCCTGGCTCATGATTGAGTTTAAAGGGAAATTGCATGAGTCAATTAGATTTGCGCAGGATGTGGGAAAGGTAGTTTTGCAAAAGTAATAATAGCATGTTTCATGGAGATGGGGATGGGGACGGCAGACAAACCAGATGTACAGTCTGTGTTTGAAAGCAAGCAGGTATCAGGGAAAGAAAGGGAAAACTGTGGAGGAAGAAGGGATGGAGAATCTTCCAGCGGGAGGGAAGCAGCCATGGGTAACATGAGCAAAGGCTGTGGGACATGGCTTTCAGCAGGCTTGAGAAAATTGGGTATTTTTAATGACTGGTTCTGCTGCACCCAACTGGAAAAGAACCAGGAGAATATATGTTATGGTTATATACATATATGTTCATATGCTTGTAACAATCTTCCTTGAAGCTTTTCTAAGAAGATAATTTTGGGGCACTCCAGACTTGTAGTATTTCACCTGGAAGGTAGTAACAGCCTGTCCCAGATCTTAACAGCTTCTGAAATAAAAAACAATTGCAATAAAAGTAGGGTATTTTCCTATGGGGCATTTTTCAAGGGAAGAGAGTAAGAAACACTGAGTGGAGGAGTAACAGAACATCAGTGAATGAATTCTATGTGCTTGATGTGCTAAACACATTATCAAGCCTTACTAGGAGTTTTCTAACCCTAGGTTAATGTCTTTTATGATATGAAAACAGAGGTGACACATGTTGTAAGCTGAAGACTGCTGAAATGGAGACCTCATCATCTATTAAAATATGACAGCTGAAAAATATATTGCATACTCATACAATTGTGAATAAGAGTTGAGTCAGCTGAAAGTTTATTGTTATGCAAAAATTGCAGTTTTACTTAAATACTACAGTCACTAAATTGAGTAAGATACTATATTTATAGCATATTTTAATGAGGAACTATGTAAAATAAAATTTAATAACAAAAAAATTTATGGAATATCTTGCAAAAGTAGCATGATCAATGTTACCGAAAAAATATTTCCTTTCTGCTTATTTTCAATAAGGACTTTAAATAGGGTCTGTGCTTTTCAATATACCTGGAATTATCTGATCTATTGCATTTTAAAAAAGTAATCACAGCAACAATGAATCAACATGTAGCAACACGGCAATGTGATTTCCTGAAGCATAAGCATTCGAAGTCAAAGCAAAGCATCGAGGACCATCAGCGACATTTACCTGACAGCTCGGATGGCTGTCTTAAATGTGGGGATCATATCTTCCATAAGGAAGTCGCTACTGTCGCCTCTCTCTTCTGCCATGGGTTCCCCTGTTCCTGCATCTGCAAAGCAGGCCAAAAAAAGCTGTGTGAACACCTGACCACACAATCTTTAGAGGGAGGTCTGGCTAACTAAAGCACTTACATGAAGTAAGTGTAATTTAGTAAAGGAATGCCTCTTGCAGGTTCCTCTTTCTCTGGTCAGCTCTTGAAAGCGATTTCATAATTCTGCTGGGACAGCTGTAAAACGTATTATTTGAGGGATCTCTCTGATTCCAGCATTTCTGAAACTTGGGAATTTTTCTTTCTTTTCAATGGATTTAGAAGCCCCCACTTTTAGGAGCTTTTACAATGATAAATCTTTGCCAAAATTATTTTATGTAAGGCTAAAACAGGTGTAGAAGCTATAGGGCAAGTTCTCCTCCCACTTGCACTACTTGGAGCTCATGTAGCTTCATGGAAGAGGATAATCAAGTTCCCAGTGTGGACACCCAGACTACATCCAGTAGTAGTAGTAGTCTGCCCAGTGTGCACTGATGCCAGCTGGCACAATAAAGGAGAAATTGTTATTTAGAGACCATTTAGACACTATAGACAATAAGAGGAAAATGTGTGCCCAGGGAAACTGAGAGGAAAAATGCCCTATGATGTTGCATGGACACCCGAAGGAAATCTGTTGAGGGGCAGCAGTCTTAGGGAGAGTGGAAGGGAAGCAGCTGTTGACTCTACAAAACCAGGTTTTAAGAGATTGCAGTGAGGAGATATTTGAGATGCTGGGACACAGGCTAGTGCAGGGCTGGATGCAGTCTAGGACTGAGCTACCTTAGCATAACATCACTGCCCTGTGTGCCCTCTTGTTCCAGGTCAAATAGGTTGATTACACCACTGGCTATATCCCATATTGATGGCTGTTTTCTGGAGGGTTATTGTCTTATTTCAACCACTGTGTTGCCTGGACTCCAGCAGTCATTTCCTGGAGCTTCCCCAAACGTGCCAGGAACCAGCCATGCTTGGCCCAGAAAGTCACAAACCTTCAACAGAAGATGCAGAGGAACAAAGTAAAATGAGGAGAACAGGGGATGGATAGAAAGTAATCAACACAGATGGGCTACCTTCTGAGCTTTGCCAAAAAGCGTACGCTTTCATTCGGAATGCAGTGCGAAAACGCTCCTTATTATTCAAGACAACATTCTTAGGCTCTTTTGAAGGACTTTCTTCAATGGCATCTACATTCAGAGGGGTAAATAGCTTTCCTTTAGTATTGGTACCACGAACCCGATCCAAGAGACCCAGCTTTTGGCTACAAAATAAGCAAAAGTAATCATTTTCCTCCTTTGTACACGTTTAACTTGTTTTCATGATGCTTTAAGTATATAATGGGCTAAATAAATGTTTTGTACACAAGGACACTGCTGGGGCTACCGTAATACATCAATATCTTCATAAGCAACAGCTAAGCTCCACAAATAATTAACTGCTTTTTATGAGCATTTTTTGTACCAGTGTTGAAAATGTTACCAGGGTCTTGCTATCCTCTCTATGTAATGTATCACAGTGCTTCAGCTCCAGTAGCACGTTGGAAGCATTAGATTTATTATTAAGAAGAGAAACGCCACTACTTAGGCAGTTATATTGTCTAACGATAAGGATGCTTGGCCTTTCCTGTTCAGTGCTTTCTTTAACTACTGGGTCTGTGGCAGGCTATTAAATGCATAGCTCATGCATAGCCAGGAGTAAAAGAAAGGTAGACATGCTGTGAACCAAATAAATTACCAGTAAAACACTGGAAAGGCATTGCCAAGCAATTGCTAGGTACGTGGTAGGGCAGGCTACCCAGTTCTTTCCACCGTTCACTTTCAGTCACCTCTCACTATACTAGAAATTAAGGTCACTTATACGAATTGTAGTAAAGTGACATATCTTGTTCCTCTGATAATTCCTTGCACTGTCCTCTTACAGATTTACTGACTAAAGATGTTTTTTCCTTCTGTGACAACACGTAGCTAGAAATGCATCTACCTGCATCTCACGAGCATCAGTTACCCTTCTGACAGCCTGACGACTTTACGACTTGAAGACAATTACTAATGCCTATGAAAAGAGCAACACAAAAGGAATTTGCTAGTGAGTGTATCAGCTTAAATATGAACTCTGAACTCTTCATAGGTGATAGATGATGTAATTATTTGATTTGCTTGTTCACTTTGCTGCTTAAATATTTGTCAGTTGCATGTGGGGTTAGGTCATGGGAAGCAAGCCTGTGTTTTAACCCGTTCCTGGACATTGCAGTGTGGGACAGCTCTGGCGAGAGGTGAATTGTGCACATACTTTGAAGAGGCACTTAGGTGCAGGAGAGAAGGGCAGGCAGGTCGAGTTGGGGGAGAGGAGAAGCCACTGCAGCTCTCAGGTTTCTGAGAGCCACAGATGGGAGCAGAGCTGAAGGACGGACAGCAGTAGTGACCAGAAGAAAGAGATTTCAGGGGTGTGCAGAGAGGTGTCTGCGCAGGGTGCTCAGCTGAAGCCTCTAAGCTTGCGGGCAAGGAGAGACAAACGTGAGCAGGGTGCACCATGCAACTTATAGTGGACAAAGATGGAGGCTTGTGTGCAGACCATGTAAGTGAAGGGTCTCACTCACAGAACTACTCATTCTCTATTTAAGGAGCTATTTTGGTCAGACGGATTGCTTTTGTGTTCTAGCATCTCTGGTGTCACTGGTGCACCTCTTTGAAAGGAGGACCTATTTCTATCTCAGGGCTCTGTGACAGTATCTCTCCACAATGGAAGTTCCTAGGACATTCCTCTTAAAATAATAAAGACAAGATGGATCTAAAGACACATATCATGACTCCGCAGCTTTCATAAGAGTGCTGACTCTAGTAGGAATACTGCAGTTTACAGCATACAAAATTCCTACGTGATCTGAACACTGAACATCACAGCTGTTGCAGGTTTTTGTGTGGTGGTTTTTTTAATAGGACTTATTGGGGCTCTCATCTCTAGTATCTGTTTCTGATTAATATATCTTTGACCCAGAAGGTAATGAACTATGGGCTTCCCTGTCACAAAAGATGGAAGCACTAAACCTTTGCCTAGGATGTTTTTTCAGGCCTTCTGAATTTTCTTGTTGAAACATGACAATGCTTGTGAATGCAATTTCTGCAGCCTAGTAAATTCAGACACTTGCCCTGTCATTGCACGTAGGAAGTGTAGACGTGTGTGCAAGTATGGAAGTGGCAACTAAGAACGACTTGTGTGAGTATGGAGACACACTGCTGTATCAGCAACACCAGGACTGAAGTCAACAGTGTGAGATGATAAAAGCATGGGTTTGAGTGAAGAATTAGAGCAATCTAAGTGAATGGTATTAGTATTACCCAGACTTTGCCCTAATGTGATTTCCTGAGGAATTCATGGCATGGAGAAAAGACAAGAAAAGCACAAACAAATGTATAAAGCAAAAATCAGAGTTTACTTCCTTCTTTGTAGAAAAACATGAGATGTTACTTGTTTACATCTGTGGTAAATTAGTCTTCATGGAATGTGTAGGGCAGTCTCATGTCTGGTCTTATGCACTTGTTTAAAAAGTGGTTTCCACAGTGCTTGCTTTTGGGTTAGAATCTTGATCTGGTTGATCCACCAAGGTGCTCTGATGGTGAGTGCAGGGTCCCAACAAGTGGTTTGCGTTCTATTAAGGTAGGGAGAATCCCATGATCTCTCTTCTGCATCACTATCATTTCTCTATTCTTTCAGAGGCCACGTTTGAGAGCAGTAGTGCTTTACAAGACATATGTCTTAAGTCCATGGCATTTCTGTGACATCTGGATTCTTCAAGCACTCAGCTGCCATATATAGGAAAAATATATACAGGAGAAGATGACAGCTAATGAGCAAGTTTTGAAAGGGCATGAAAAATAAGCGTGGGGAAGTAAAAGTCAACTGAATGAGTTGCGTGTGCTTTTGGGGGGTGAAGTAGGGAAAAAGAAATTCTCATGTCTCAATAGTAACAAACCCAAAGTTTGAAGGAGGAATTAATTTCAAGAAGGATGGTCAAGAAGAGCCTGGAATCATGGCACATCACTGAAAAGAACTTTAATGTAAAGAACTGCACCAAAAGTCTAGCTCAGTGATAACAATGAGTCAGCCAGGCAATATAAACTGATGGGCATGAAGATGTTCGAGGGAGTGAGCTTGTGAGGTCTTCAATGTGAAGAAAAACAGCAATTACGCATGTTTAGCATCACGGTGATATTTGTAGACTGAAGGAGACTGTGAAATAAGCTACAAGAAAGAAGAAACTGAAGCAGTTTTAAGATAATAGATCTATTCAGTAATAACAAAATGAAGACATTTTTCCCTAGATCTGAAAAAATTGTGTGCACAACAGGCTTGTTGTGGAGATCAGCTTTTCCTTGTGGGGCGATTAACAGGTGACCATGATAGATGAAGTTCAAAATGAAAGCAGAGACTATAGTCCACCTATTCTTCAGGATTTCAAGCTTGATCATCTTGGTTCAAGATCTTCCAGGATGAGAAGGAAGCTCCTAGAAGGATGAAATCTAGCAATGAAACTCAGATGATTTCAGATGACGAGGTGATTTTCTCAAAGGCAAGAAGTGGTCACACACTACACATTGGCTTCGAGCAATGTATTAAATGTCACAAGATTTGGTTTAGTTACACTACAGAGAAGTTCTCAAGAGAAGAATATATTTAAGGCAGAGAAACTGAAAGACAAAGAAGCAGAAAAATTGGTTAGACAGCGGATTCCTAATGTTTGTAAATAGCAGTTTAATACTGTATTAGAAGAATGGAGTTGTTGTTGTATATGGCTTCTGACTCTCTCTCCAGAAACTTTCTTGGTCCTTCAAAATACATATCCAGATCTCTCAAAGTTTGCCCCTTAAAAGTCCTGTAAGAACTGCCTTCCGTACCAAAAGACAAGGAGGCATAAAGTGCATTGCAAGGAAATATAGGGATCAGACCCACAGGAAAAGGGTCAGTGGATAATGGGAAGTATCCAAAACATTAATCTTGCAGATTTTTTCTCCCAATATAGGACAGAAATATAGTCAATGTATGCAGAATTCTCCACCATGGAGCTATATAAGAATAGGAGTGATCAAGATTTTATATCCTCCTCATAGATCAAAACAGATCAAAAATATTCCTCGGCATTCAGCACAAAAGGCTACTTATTTG